TGCAATCTCACTCAGGGTGACTGGATCGAAAGCGAAGAGCAATGCGCTGTGGAAGACTGTCGCAACACACAGTTGGAAAAATAGTAAATGAAACTCACTGGTAGTAAGCACAAAACAATGATCATGTTAACCAGTAGTTTTGAGAGCACAGGAATGAACGAAGCCTACCTCTATAACCAGCAGCTGAGTGACACTGTAATTGAATTATAGTAAAGACTGAAGTCACACTGCAGCCTTACTGCACATAAAAGAATCCACAGAGAGAAGCCCTGACTAAGAAACGAATTCTCTGGTACCTAATGAGACATTAAATCCCGTTGAAACTTTTTCCTGCAGGTCAGGTGCCCGGGCTGCTCTCTCGGGTCTGTAGCGACTAGTAAGAGATCTAGAGCGAGTCGTGCCCTCACTGCACACACCGTACCTCCTGCCTGGCTCCCTGTTTCTTGAATTCTGGGCTGCCATCTTTCACAAAAATTATGGAAATTTCAGATAGCAAAACTTGTTTCTTATCACTTGTTTAATGTGCTTGAAATTCAAAAGTGAATGTAAAATATAAGGGCAATAACAAGGAATTTGAAAAAATACTGAGAACCATGATCAAGATCATCCCACTTCAAAGAGTACTGCTGTCAGAAGGAGCAGCCCTGCCTTTCTCTCCTCCTCACCTTCGGTCACTCACCCCCTGCATGCTCCATCTTCTCCTGCTTGTTGTCAGCGCTGGTGTACGTACGGCCACCGGCGAGTTGGATCAGTCTGAGAACCGCTCCAGGAAAAAAATGGTTCATCTGTAACTAGGTGAGTTTGCCTAGTCCCAGTGCAAGGTGGGGGCAGAGGTGGCTCTGCTGGCAGTACTACAGATCTATACCAGATTAAGCGGAGTATAAAACTGCCGGGATCCTCACAAGTTTAGTGCTACATTTGGTATCGCTCCTTCTCTGTCACCTGTGAGGAAATGGTTCCAGGCAGTGAACAATGGCTCCTGCTGTGTACAATATAGAGCAGTTTCCACTTTCTTTCATGACTTGTCCAGAAAAAAAAGTCTACTGCTGTTGCCTTATTTTTCATACAATTACAATAAGAAAATTTAACCAGGGTGTAGAATCAATATTCATTCACTGCTCCTAGGGCATTTGTCTGCAAGGACCAACACCTGCAAGAACGGTCACTGGAGAGGGACTGGATAGCTCATCCAAGGCAAGCGTTCCATCTGCCAGCCCCAGGACAATGCTCCCGCTTGCACGGCTGCTCTCAGGGAGCTTAAAGAATTTGGTACTCTGGCAGTCAAACCGCTTTGACAGCAGAGCGCGAGTACACACATCAATAGTGGTGTTAAGGTGGTCTTCTGAAACGTCTGAGATATGGGCTTGTTCCTCCTCCGGTCCGCGTTACTCACAATGAGCTTCAGTGTACAGTAAAATTGAGTGAAAACTGCAGGGGAGACCCAGGATGAGGCCACCATCACTGTTTCAACATAAAAAAAAGAAGTATCCCGTGCTTTGTCCAGTGTTGGAAGAAAGGTCTGGGTGCTCACCTCGCTGCACGGCCTCAGTGCTGCGGCCCCGAGGCTCCCTGGGCTCGCGGGGAGGAGGAAGCCTTAGCCCCCGCCGTAAGGAACGCATGCACCAGGCACCTCCATCTCCAGCATCTCCTGCTGACTGCTCCAAGCAGTTCCTGCTTCTGCCTGGTAGTAACTCCTCACAGGTATTCTGGGGTTTTTTGCTCTCCTTTGTTTGGAGACATACTTACGCTTTTTTTGTCTCCGCTTGCTGTGCACCGCCATTTGAAGGCACCTGAATTTTTCTGTGCATTGTTTAGGGAGTCTGGACATGAGGCTTGGAGAAGGAAATGCTTCGGTCCTTCTGGGAATCTGGGTCATGGCAATGTCGGTTTTCCCCCACATACGGAAGAGTGAAATCATATAACTTCTTAGCAGAAATATTACTGTAATTGAAAATTTATTTTAAGTTTCTAATGTCACTGAGTAGGTACCATTTACGAAAGCCAAAGTCTGCTACATTAAAAAGGATAAACAAAACCCCAACATAGCTCCATTAGAAACACCCTCAGCACTCTCACTAAATTTAAGAGTGCATATGCAGAGAATGCACTTGTGTCCTGCTCATTCTCCAATCATGATTCCAAACACCAGTGTCAACAGGCAGGAAGTTTCCTCAAAGGCCAGAGCGCGCCCCACCTTCACTGCACTGCTCTGAAGGGCAGCAACGAAAGCCGACACATCGTACAGCATTCCATTCATTAACAGCAATTCCTTAAGACTTAGAACCAATGCATTAATCACGTTATTGATAATCCATTAATGTGAAGAACCTGAAGATAACAGGTGGAATCGAGGATATGCTCTGTGGCAACAGTGTTACAGGTTGAGGCTAATACTGAATTACAAAATCAGTCTGCAAGAGGATTAACCATGACAGCAGAGCATACGAAGCGAACGCCATGGTTGAGGAGGGCAGAAAACGATGGCATAGCATATTAATGTTTCTAGACAGGGATAGGTTTGCAGTGAGGGTGTAATTTGGAAAGGTGACTCTAGGTGGTTGCTTCTTGAAATCAGGCCCAAAGTATTTAAGGACCAGAATCATAAATGTTTTATTTAAGGAGCGATACACTTGTTTACGTTGTGGCAGAATGATCCCTATAGGCTGATCTCGATATCTTATGTCAGAGGGCAGCAATGCCACCGCTTGGAACACTTCCAGTTAATTACCACTAGAACATTTTGATAATGACAATGTATTCTGCAATACAAGGGAAAAATAATAAAAGAGTTTAGGAAAAAAAAAAAAAAGGCCAAGCCAACCCTGGGAGCACTGACTTCAACAAGTTCAACAAATATTCAAGCCACATTTAATAACTTTATGAAACTAGTATCAAAGTAAAGAATATATAGTCAAAATACAGAAATAAAGTTGAGTGAGAGAAAACAGCCTGATGAGATCAAACAAAAGTTAAACAGAACAGATTAATATAAACAAGTTAGCTAAAGGTCGCTTTGCTTTGTGTAGCCGTATTTCAGCAATTCCTTTCCTCAATAGCCAGCTTAGAAGGAAGAGCTAATCTGAAAAAAAGAGATATG